TGGCGGATCCCTTTTCTGGGGATAATAATCCTTAAAAAAAAATCAATAATAATTTGGTCACTCAATCCACGACTGTTTGTGGGACATTGCTGTGCGCAATTGGCTGCCACGTTTTGCCCACAAATATACAGTCAAATCACTTTACAGTATATTCTGTGAAGCGCTTTGAGATGTCTCGAAGACGTGATAACGCGTTATATCAAATGCAAGGATCATTAGTATTTTACAAAGTGCTTTCCGCAGAATGTATGATGTCATCACCTATATTTCACCTACATCACTTTTCCCTTACCCTCCTTCATTGAAAAACAGGGCAGAGGTCAGGGGCGAAACAACAGGGCAAAGGTCATGTATGGTGCCTAAATATAATAATAGTAATACTCCTTGCATTTGGTATAGCTCCTTATCACATTGTTGAGATGTTTCAAAGCACAGAATATACTGTATTTTTGGGGGTGAAACCGGCAGCCAATTGCACACAGCATTATCCCACAAACCATCGTGGATTGAGTAACTAAATTATTATTTATTATTATTTTTATTTGTATGGATTATTACCTCTGGAAAGCGATCTGCCAATTGCCTAACAACCTGGTCTCTACGTACTGGTAGGTATACAGAGGCGTGTGGAGTGAGAAAACTTGCGCAAGGCTTCGCCCTGCCCTGAATCGAACCAAGGTCCTCTCGCTTGTGACCCTGGGTCTTCTAACCAATACGCTACAGGACTCCAATGTGTTTGCTCCTGGCCTTTTTGGAGTCCTGTAGCTCAGTGGTTAGAGCACTCGCTTTGCAAGCGAGAGACCTGAGTTCAATTCCAGGCAGGGCGAAACCTTGGGCAAGTTTCCTTACTCCACACGTCTAATAATAATCCCTCCAAAACCAAAAACAATAATAAATTGGTCATTTTCAATCTACGACTGTTTGTGGGGCATTGCTGTGCGCAATTGGCTGCCGCGTTTGCCCACAAATATACAGTCAATTCACTTTACATTGTGTTCCATGAAGCGCGTTGGGACGTCCTTCCGATGTGAAAAGCGCTATATCAAATGCAAGAATTATTATTATTATTATTATTTTCCTGGCTGCATTAATTAGTTGAATTTAATGACTCGACTTAGTTGGTGACCCACCAGAGGGACATCAATGGCGCACATTCTGCATATCTACACTGGCCATTCAGTCACCAGGAGTGATGGTCCTGGGAGGAGCCTAGAGGCAAAACCCTCGGGGCCTCAAGTCAGCAGCCTCTTTCCCTCTGTAGGTCAGCCCACAATGTCAACACCTGCAGAATTACCCATGTGATCGATAGCAACGGTTATGATGACTTCTCTTCCTGCTGCTTAATAGAAACTTCAGACTTCTGACTGAGTTTCCCCCAGTTCTCTTTTTTTAAAAAAATATTTGTGTTGAATTAATTTCTAATTTTTTCCCAGAAAATATGTCCCCTGCTCCTGGCCTCAGCCTCCTCATGCTGGGAGCTATTCCTTTTGGCACTGGCTGCACTCCAATAACCTATTCACATTTGAGCCTTGCCAGTGAATATAGCTATTCAGAGGTGTGTGGAGTAAGAAAACTTGGCTAAGGTTTCTCCCTGCCCAGAATTGAACCCCAGTCCTCTCACTTGCAAACCCGGTTCCTCTAACCAATACGCTACAGGACTCCAATGGCTTTGCTCCTGGCTTTTTTCCTGCACCACAGCAAAGCCTCACCTCTCTTCATGTGGCAATCATTGACCAGTAAAACAATGCTGAAGAAGGATGAGGAGCAGGAAACCAGTCTGATTCTAATCTCCCTAACCAGGGAAAGCCTGGTAGCAAAGTGGTTAGCGCGTTCACCTCACCAGCGAGGGGACCTGGGTTCAATTCCCGGGCAGGGCAAAACATTAGGCAAGTTTCCTTGCTTCACACATCCTTGTTTACATAGCAGTAAGTAGGAATCCAGTTGTTAGTCGATTGGCGGATCGGTTTCCAGGGGTAATAATCCCTTCAAAAAAAAATGGTCACTCAATCCATGACTGTTTGTGGGACATTGCTAAGCACAATTGGCTGCTGCAATTCGCCCCCCAAATTTACAGTCAATCACCTTTACCAGTATATTCTGTGAAGGTCTTTGAGGCATCTCAATGATGCTATATAAAATGCAAAGATTATTATTATAAGACAAAGGCCAATTTTAACATTCCAACATAGCCCCAGTGGGACAAGCAAAATCGGTGCAGGCTGAGATTCATACCAGCAAGCCCCTGGTGCGGATCCCTGATTATCCAGTGTCTTGGGACGTCCTCCTGACGTGAAAGGCGCTATACACATGTAATGTGTTGTTGATGTTGATGCCTGCTCTAAGCTTCATTATGTAGACTGAGCTACTTAATTTCAATCAATATGTGACCCTTTAGCACTGGACATAACTGCTGGATTGACTTTGTATGTGAAAATCTTCAGTTCCCTTCAGTAAAGATATAAAGGCTCTATTTAGGTACAAATTGCTGTAACAGTGTAAATACAGACAAGCACATTTGATTTCCTAGTTTGCTTGTTTGGGATTCGTAAATTTCTTGTGGGGGAAAAAACACTTTTTTTAAATATATTTTTTATTTATCAAACCGTTCCAGCCAATTATGAATAAAAAGTAAACATCCACAACATGTAAAAGCCTATTTGCACACATCAGTTGGGCATATTTAAACCAGGTAATAGATTTGTTTTTTCACAAAATGGAAATTCATATAATAAGTTCACAGTGGTTGGTTTCTTTCACATTATTATTGTTCTATCTAAGCATTCACTGTGGCACAGCTGAGTGATGACGTGACTTAGCATAACCTAAACAAATAAGCCTGTGAGCTTCTGTTTTGAGAGGTAAACTGAACCTCTCTCCCTGCGGATTGCAGTTGCACTAGTAACATCACGTAAGAATGCTGCAGAATGCCTGTCAGAAACGAGCACCATGACAAAAGTGCAAAGACAGAATGCACAGTTGTTGTGTCTATTGGAAAGTCCCTTTCTCAAAGAATTAGACCACGTCTGAGCAGCAAAATCCCCTTGTTCCCCTGAAGGGCAGATGAAGAACTGGAAAGTGCAACACCTCAGTCTGGTAAAGTTACAAGCCTGTGGTGTGGGCTGATAAAGTGATTTTCCTGTAAAGATATCACTGAGATCAGTATTTTTCCTAGCATTACCCCCAAATGATATTGCTTTACGTCAAGAGGGAGATTGTTTCCTGATAGCTTCTCAATTGGGGAGTGAACTACTTAGAAGAGGAAAGGAATAATTTAGATTGATAAACTGTGAGGAGAAAATGTCAAATTCAAAAACACAATCATCATTGGATACTAATTTGATTTTAAAAAGAGCAAATTGTTTTATATATATATACACACACAAACATACGCGCACACACATAATAATAATAATAATCCTTGCATTTGATATCGCACTTTTCACATCTTCTCGACATCTCAAAGCGCTTCACAGAATAATAATAATAATAATAATCCTTGCATTTGATATAGCGCTTTTCACGTCGGGAGGACGTCCCAAAGCGCTTCACAGAACACACTGTAAAGTGAATTGACTGTATATTTGTGGGCGAAACGCGGCAGCCAATTGTGCACAGCAGTGTCCCACAAACAGTTGGGGATTGAAAATGACCAATTTATTATTGTTTTGGAGGGACTATTATCAGGTGTGTGGGGTAAGGAAACTTGCCCAAGGTTTCAATCTGCCTGGAATTGAACCCAGGTGTCTCGCTTGCAAGGCGAGTGCTCTAACCACTGAGCTACAGGACTCCACATACACACACAGTAGGTATATTTTCATGCCAAAGACAGCAAACATACAATGGTTTGGTATAATGAGTTCCCATCTTCTATGCACTGTCACATCATACAACAACAAAAGAATTACATTTGTATAGCACCTTTCACATTGGGAGGATGTCCCAAGGCTCTGGGACCTGTTCTGAACCATTCTCTTTCCCCTTCCCTCCCTATGTGCTCCAGACAAATAATTTAAGAAGGGAATTCAACAACTCAGAGGCTTATATAGGTCAAAGCTGTATTGACTCAAAATACTGCAGCATTTTGCAAAAGAATAGCAATACTTTGCAAAAATCCCCTTACAGGAAATCCCTAAAAGTTTCTGAGCCGACTCATCGCTGAACTTTTTGTTTCATTTCAAATGTTTCCAAGATATCATTTTATGTGCTACATAAATGCAAGCTCTTGATTTTTTTATATACACAGCATATTTGCTTCAAACGAATTTTCTACTAAGAAGTTAAAGTTCAGGTTCTCACGCTGAACATATTATTTTTAACCAGAAAGTTGTTACGGTCTGGAATGCAATGCCTGAAAGGCTGGTTGAAGCAGATTCAACAGTAACTGTCAAAAGGAAATTGGACGTACACTTGAAAATAAATAATTTGCAGGGCTATGGGGTAAGAGTGGGGAAGTAAGATTAGTTGGTAGTTCTTTGAAAGAGCCGGCACAGACACAATGGGACGAATGGCTTCCTCCTGTGCTATAAGATTCTATGATTTATAATTATAATAATTACTCCTGGTCATCTTCAGCCAGTCACAGTTTGTCATCTAATCCATCTGTGACTGAGATTTGCTGTTCTTCCTCAATCTCCTCCATCCCTCCACAGCCTTTACATGTCAACTATTCCATATCATCTCTTTGGCTCACCTCCGTGGCACTGAATGTTTGTAGTTTCTCTCTTACTTGTCCCAACAACCATATTTCTCACATTAGCTTCTCATCCCTTGCCAACCCTTGCCATGCAATTAGGGCTCTGTCTCTGGTCCTCTCCTATGGTTTTCTCTTGGTGACATGATTTTCAAGCTAGGGCTCAGTTCCCACATGAAAACCAACAGCACCCAAGCTGTACTTCTCTATTCAACCTTTCATGATGCTATTGCTGTTCTAATGAACTTCCTATCAATAATAATTCTTGCATTTGATATCGCGCCTTATTGTGTCGTTGAGATCTCAAAGTGCTTCACATAATATACTGTAAAGTGAATTAGCTGTATATTTTATGGACAAAACTGAACATCAAGTCCCAGATAAGCCTGAACTTCTTCAATTCAACATAAATTGAGCCTGAAATATTTAGGCAAGGCTTCTCTTGCTCTTTGCCCCTCTGGGGATAATACAGAGGATTCTGCCTTACCTCAGAGTGAGTTCATCCAGTACCTGCTGATTAAGTTCAAAGGCCATTTGATGCACTTGAAAATGATTGTCACTAACAGTGAATCTGCTTGTTACCTGGTCACATGGATAACACAAGGACTTTTTAAAGCCAGATTTGAGTGGCGGGGATGGAGTATTTCAAAGAATGTTTTAACCTCATTCCTTAACACACAGTTATTGCACTATACAGTACATCCTGTGAAGCGCTTTGGGACATCCTCTAAGAAGCAGGAATTTGTTCGAGTATCACAGTTTTGACAATGTTGAACCAATGCTGGCTATTGTATTAATCTTTTCTAGCTTCCATCAGACTGGTGTGGCACTGAGCAATACCACAGAGTGTTCAGTGGCTACAGTGCTGGCTTTGCTGTAGCATCAGGAGTTTGAAATTACAAAGCCTTCCTCCTTATTCCAAGTGCGAGGTCTTCACATCAATGAATGATCCATGTTTGTCTTTTTGTCTAGTCACACAAAGAGAACAGAGTATAAGCACTCGCTGCATCTTAGTTTTAATCCTATGACCCGATTGCTAGCCACGCAGCAAGGATCTGATACAGATTTATTTTTAATCAAAACACAATGACAACATGTTTTTTACATATCCTGAAACACAGGTGTATGTATGTAAAGCTAACAACTTGTTTTGAAACCGAAAATCAAGCTTCATGTCGATTTGTTTTGTATTGTTGTAATGTATACCCTGTAGCTGGTATATAACGCTTTCTCAGGAAGGAGCTTCAACCCATAGACTATGCCTTCAGATGCCATAAGGTAATTCTGCCAGCATCATACACACCAGCAGCTATGAACCAAATTCAGTGATAAAACAAGGAAATGATGTCTTACATGTTTTGTGCTGCCGTCGCCTCATTTTTACGGTCCAGAAGAGGAACAGAATGATCACAATGAGAATTACTATTGGAGCAGTTACCACTGCTATAATGATGTAAATTCCTACAGCTGAAGGAAAAATGTCAGCCTCTTCATGTGTCCCTTTGATATCTAGATATTTAAAAAAAAAGTTAATTGAAAATGGGTCAGTGTTTATAAACATCGTAGTAACATAGGAACAGTAGTAGACCATTCAGCCACTCGAGCCTGTTCCCGCCATTCTACTGGATCATGGCTGATCTGTACCTCAACTCCATTTACCCATCTTTGCTCCATATCCTTTAATACCCTTAGCTAATAAAAATCTACCAACCTCGGTCTTAAAAATTTGAATGGATCCAGCATGCACAGCCTTTTGGGGAGAGGATTCCAGATTTCCACTAACCTTTGTGTGAAAAAGTGCTTCCTGATTTCACCTCTAAATGGCCTAGCTCTAATTTTAAGATTATGCCCCCCTGTTCTGGATTCCCCATCAGAGAAAATAGTTTCTCTGTCTCCACTCTATTGAATCCCTTTATCATTTTAAACACTTCAATTAGATCACCCCTCAACCTTCTGAACTCAAGCAAGGTTTATGCAACCTGTACTCATAATTTAGCCCTTCAAGCACTGGTATCATTCTGACGAGTTTACAGGTTAAAAATGCTACAGAGAAACTTTGATTTTCCATGGGAATCAACAATGGCACCATTGAAGGTGCAGAACATATAAAAGAGTATTTTAAAATCGCTTTATTTAAAATAAGATGACTTGTTTCTTTTTGTAAAACAAATTGACTGTTTTAACTGAACAAAATCATTCATTAAAAAAACGTTACCTGTAATGCGTAAATCGGTTGACGTAGTCCTGTTCAGTTCTTTATTCCAAAATGTACACACATACGTCCTGTTGATATTAGCTTTAACTCTCAGAACACTTTTGATGTTATACAGACCCTGGTTGTCAGTAAAATAGGTGGTATTCGCTGTCTCATTCAGGCCACAACCATTCCCATCGAGCCAGGCCACTGTAGCTAGAGGGTATCCCATGGATTGACAAATGAACTCGGTCTCTTCCTTTTCTTTTGTGACAGAGGTCTTTATGTTTTCATAAGAGGCTGTAAAACACACATCAGAAAGTTTGACAAAGTGATTTAATCCATCCTATCATTTTTAAGGCATTTCAAAATATTGCACTTGTCATTTACCTTTTGCAGTAGGCTTTACATTTATAAAACCTAAAACACTTCTTATTAAAACGGTGCAATCATTTCCTCTGTTAGGGGTCTCCCCATAAAATAATGCTCACATTCGGTACACGACCTTTCACGTTTCGTCCACAAAATATACAGTCAATTGACTTTACTGTATAATCTGTGAAATACTTTGAGATGCAAGAATAACGTGATAAGGCGCTATATCAAATACAAATATTATTATTAAATAATCTCCTCTCCAATGATGTATCTCTAACTCCTGTTGACATGAACTATGCAATCTATATCTCAGCTATCCTGGATGTCAAAAGGAAAATATTTGCGTCTCCAACTTTGTCAACCCTCAATCTGATTCAAAATCTCCCCAAAACAGAGACGAGGAAAGATTGCCTACCTGTGACTTTCAGTGCAGTATCTTTATAATCCACTCCATTAAGGTCAATGGCACAGCGGTAGGTTCCTGCATCGGAGACTCTGACTTGTGAAATTTCCAGCAATGCACGGCCACTGTACAGCTCATCCCACATGAGGAAGACTCGTTCTTTGTATTCAGATGGCTGGTCCTGAAGCATTTCCTTTCCTTCACGCATTCTGTAAATCTCCTGCAAGGATCCATCACCCAGAATGTGGTACCAGTACACGTTTAGCTGATTCGCATTGAAGTTGGAGCCTACTGGAAACCTACATTCCACAGTGATGTTATTGCCGTAGGATGCAGTGTAGAATTGTCTGGGAGAGGTGACCACAAAAAGAGCTGAAACAAGAGAGTAGAGTTACACAGCTGCTCAGGTACAAGGCGGCTCAATTTAAGAAAAGAATTGAAGTTAGACACTTGAGTTAGTGATTGAAAGATAAAGGCCTCTGGTGCACATGCACAAGCCAGCGATCCCGACTACCCTATAATAATAATAATAATCCTTGTACTTGATACAGCGACTGATCACATTGTTGTGATGTCTCAAAGTGCTTCACAAAATATATCATAAAGTGTAGTGACTGTATATTTGTGGGCAAAATGCGGCAGCCAATTGCGCACAGCATTGTTTCACAAAAGCATATACCGAACATTGGATGTATATGTTCCCATCTTGAAACGAATACAGCCTGTAATTTATTTGGGTCAGCTGGGTGGCTGACTCCTCAAACAATGATTTCTAATACATGAAGAAACTGCTGGCTGTAATTTTCCACGTGTTTGTGTTCCAATAGACAGGGTAAACTTTTATGTCCAGAACCTTATGGCTGTGACGTATTTTGTTGATCATCAAGCCAAGATCTATTAATGCCCAACTATTGAAAGGTTTTTGGAAGTCAGAAAAGATGATTGTCATTTCATCTCAATACCTCTCTGGATGTCCCACCCACCAACTGAAGTCAGGAGCTCATCATGTAGGACTTAGAGGGGTGGGGGTTAACAATCTCTGTGACAACAACGTCTTAACATCATACCTGTCAGTAAGGGCAAGTGAGCTCCCAGTATGCAAAGCAGCACTGAAATCTTCATTGTGCCTGCGTTTTCTGAAAGACAAACGTGTACATGTTTATAATTATGTGAGTATTTCAGACAGTAATTCATAAGTTGACAGTGTGCTGAGAAGGGGTTAGTCACTATCAAAATCCTGACTTTGGTTGACTTTCACAGAGAGAATCACGCAGGTTCTTAAAGTAGCATTACAGTCCAACAGCAAATGCACAGATGATTAGAGGGCACATGGAAGAAAAAATCTGGCACAGTAGAGTTCCATCTTATTCTATTTTATACAATACAAATTTAAATAGCATCTTTCATGTCATAAGGATCTTTCAAAGGTCTTAACCATACTGGCTTGCCACCCAAGCTTGGGGTAGGAGCCGAGGGGGATAGGCAGGGGAAAGATGATCAAAAGCACTGTAATTTTATTCAGCTACTTGATCTATCATGTATCTTTTGATTGTGTCGCACACTATTGCCTGTTAGAACAGAACACGATTTGACAGAAAAAACCCTTACAGTTGTCTGATTGGTGCCATTTTCTAGCCTAGTTTGTTGGTTCTCATATGCCATAGGACAAAAGCAAAACTACTCCATTATTTTCAACTAGAATATGACTTAAAATTGTAGATGACAAATGACAAGAAACTAAATATTTATCTCAAGGAATTTTCTGCCTCAAATGAGTTACAGCCACTTGTGGGTCTTTCAGCTGCTATGAACAATCAAGCTCTGAGCTCAGCACTGAGACACGATTTAAATTTGTCAAGCCACATACTAACACATTATATGCCTCATGTTTGACTCAATGCTTATAAGATTGAAAAAGCTTAAAGAGCTTCACAGATAAGTGATAAGTGTAGTGACTGTAGGCAAATCTGACAGCCAATTTGTGCATAGCAAAGTACCACAAACAGTCATAATGTGAATGATCAATATATCTGGAGGCTTGAACCCACAACTTTCTGAGAAACAACAACTCGTGGAGTCCTGTAGCTCAGTGGTTAGAGCACTTGCTTTGCAAGTGAGAGACCTGAGTTCAATTCCAGGCACAGGGCGAAACCTTGGGCAAGTTTCCTTACTCCACACAGAGCCTAATAATAATCCCTCCAAAACCAAAAACAATAATAAATTGGTCATTTTCAATCTACGACTGTTTGTGGGACATTGCTGTGCACAATTGGCTGCCGCGTTCGCCCACAAATATACAGTCAATTCACTTTACAATGTGTTCTGTGAAGCGCTTTGGGACGTCCTCCCGACGTGAAAAGCGCTATATCAAATGCAAGGATTATTATTATTATTATTATTAACTTGCATATTTAATATAGCACCTGTCACCCAGGTCAGTGTCCCAGAGCGCTTAAAGCTGTCACACAATCACCTGGAAGCATACTACTAACAGTCTAGAACATACCCACCCCCCTGCCCCCTCCCCACCCCAATGCCTTCAAAGCCCTCCATGGCCTTGCTTTGCCCTACCTCTGTGACCTGCTAATTCTATATAGACCAATCTGCTCCCTCCGCTAAGGGGGCTCTAGCCATCTCCATGTCCACCACCCCCACCCTTTGGAACTCCATTCCACGGTCCCCTTGCCTCGCCTCCTCCCTTGCTTCCCTCAACAACAACTTGCAATTATATAGTGCCCCTCATGAAGAGTAGCATCCCAGAGCGCTTGAAAGCCTGTCTCAAGACCCTCCTCTTCGACTGCGCCTTCGGTCACCCTCCTATCCCAACCCTCCTTGCCCTCCACCCCTCCTAATCCCAACCCCAGCTCGCGTCTAAATCCCTGACTGTCCAGCGCCTTGGGACATCCTCCCAATGTGAAAGGCGCAATACAAATGTAATTTGTTGTAGTTGTTGACCACCTCCCTGATTTTCCCAAATGCATCAGCAATCACAGTCTTTCTACTCAGGATCATTTACCCCAACAGACACAGCTCACAGACAGGTCTACTTACTGTCAATCTGTCAGTCTATCTGGGATGAAGGTGAATCTAGCGGCATGTATTAATAGCCAGTTTGCTTACCTCGGGAGCCTGGCTCTAGCGATCTTGGTAGGTTGTGTGTAAACTGTACAGTGTGTTTATTTGCTCAATCCTTGCTTCATTTAAATGCTGGGGGAGAGCTTGTGGTATTTCCCTCCAAACCAGGAAATCACATGCATCATTCCGCCTCCTCGCCCTAGAGATTTACTGGCATTTATCAGGTATCAAACTTTACAGATATGATTGAATCACGTGAAATGCATTACAAATGCACACAACAAAGATCGTCTTTAAACCCCCTGGAATAGAGAACTTGGTGTCTTCTGCCTGCTGTAGCAATGGGTTGTCAGTGTTCTCTCCACACCAGTAAAGCAGCTTGTATTTTGCTGCAGTATTGATTCCCCAATTTTGTTAAACCAAAACTAAACTAGGTCACAGCTAAAAGGATCACACTTCATGCTTGCTTTCTCAGCTGGAGTGAGTCACTATGCCATTCACACCTTCATCAAGGAAAAAGCTGCTTCTGCAGGATTCACGTTCAGTGGTGTAAATAATGATAATTTGATGCCTGGGGCTACAACCACAAATCTTCTCAGAGCAGCCAATTAGCACACAACAACAATAATAATAATCTTTGCATTTGATATAGCGCTTTTTACGTCTTATCGACGTCTCAAAGCGCTTCACAGAATAGACTGTAAAGTGAATTGACCGTATATTCATATACAATGACAACAACATGCATTTATACAGCCCCCCTCATGCAGGCTAGGGTAATTGCAAATGACCTGCAAATAGCCGTGAAGTCAATTTTTATCTGTGGGATTGTTGGCCACGACAATAGGAGAAATTTTCTTTTCGAATTATGCAAAGGGATTTTGAATGTCCAGCCCAACAAGCAGGGGGGACCTTGGTTTAATGATTCATCTGAAGGCTGGTACATCACTGGTTTGCCCAGAATATGGTTGGATTTCCTTTTTTGGTAAACAAGTAGATTTTATTGCTTTGCGGGCAAAAATAAGAAATTGGGAATGTAACGGGTAAACCCCCAAACACAGGTAAAGGTTGCAATGTTATAAGCCTGTTGTATAACATTACGTCACTGTAAACAGTGAGGTGGTAGTGCTGTGCTCCCAGGGACTAAAATCTAATGATCTCCTCCAACTCCAATGTTTCTTTCAGGCAGGGTGTGCATTTTCATGAATTCAACTTCTTGTGCAAATTGCACACAAATTAGCAGCCATGTTCGTCCATGTAACACACAGTTACTACACTTCACAGTATATCCTGTGGAGCACTTTGAGATGGCTCGACTATGTGATATAAGGCGCTAAATCAAATGCAAGGATTTTTTTATTATTATTGTTATTTTTATCGTGTGAAGTGCTTTGGAATGTTCTCCCAATGTGAATGGTTCTGTGTCAAATGTTAGGATCATTATTATTCTAATGGGGTTTCTGACCTGTTTACTGTCTTGAACGTGCTTTTCAAGGTTGATGTGCTGAGTGTCTTCCTGGTCTACAAATTGTTTTCTACCAATCAAATCCCAAGGCGATTGGATTATTGACTTGACTCAAACCAGGCACTCACTCGCTCGGATTTCCCTCACCTCCGCAATAATGCACACTTCTGCCCTTAGCTCTCGCTATCTGTGATGAGACCTTCATCACTATACCATTCACACCTTCATCATGTTCAGGGTTGATTACTTGAACAACCTGCTTGTCAGACTCCCCAGCTCCTCCTTCCACAAGCTAGAGAACATCAGGCATCAGTGAGCCCGTCACTCTATCCTCACTCATTTCTACTGGCTCCCCATCCCCAGCAGATTGAATTCAAGATCCTTCCTTTCAAATCCCTCCGCAGCTTTGCATGACCCTTACAACCTCTTTCAACCCCACTGACCCAGCTGCTCCCTCCCTTCAGCAACTCCTGACCTGCTTCATGTTGCGTGTGTGTGAGCCGCTCCATTATCGGCGGTCGAGCTATCAACCATTCTGCTGCCACTCTCTGGAATGCCACCTGTCCCTCCGGCTCACTTACTCACTCCCAACCTCCCTTCTCCGCCGCCTCCCACTCCCTCCCTTGCTCTCTTCCACCCCATCATTATAGCTCACCTTAAGACCTACCTTTCCAACCGTGCTTTTGGTCACCCTTCCCCCACCCCACACACACATACACATACTGTCCGCACCTTCTGCCCCCCCACTCCCATTGTGAAAGATGGTGTATAAATATAAATTGTTGTTGAACTCTGTGTTGGCAAATGCTCCGAGACCTACCCCATGTGAAGCACTAAGAACAAGTTGTTGTTGTAATGTCTGTGACCCTGGACAAATATATTTTTCAGTAACAGTGATAAAGGATCTCTTTTCAACTTGGCTGTTGTCTTTCGTTCACTTAGTTTCTGAGTTTTCAAAAGGGGAGCTATTTTGTGTAAGTTCTGAACCAAAACTATTGACTTGTGCATTTCCAGTTTTACTTTAGTCAGAAACATGACTTGGCATCTGTTACTGTAGAGGCAGTAGCTTCCCGTTATTAGACAAAGAAAACACTTCCTTGTTAGAGAAGTGATCCTGAGAAACAATTCCTTTTCACGAAAGATTTTACCATACGCACAATTGTGAGACTCTGAATGAGACTGGGGGAAACGTGGGAAATCCAAGCATACCACTGCTTAGGTCACCCTGACATCAGCTATTACCAGTTATTCTTCTGCAGATGGGAAAAGATTGGCCTACACAGAGACTATTTTTGGATGCAGTAGTAATGTTATAATAACTAATCCTTGTGCTTGATATACTGCCTTATCACATCTTCAAGATGTCTCAAAGTGCTTCAAAACATAAACTATAAAGTGATGTGACTGTGTGTATTTTGTGGTGAATTTTCTGTGCTGGATCGTTAGGTGAGTGATGAAATTCACACTCATCCCAGTCCCGAATATGAAATTTGATAAGCAAGGTCAGAGTTTTGGGCTTATCTTAAGACAAGAGTGGTGAGGTAGAGCCTGGTCTCATGGAAACTGACCTCATGTCTCCAGATGTTGTCACCAAGGGGAAGGATATAAATAATAATAATAATCCTTAAAGTTGATATGGGTCTTTTCAAGTCGAGAGGCTGCCTCAAAGTTTTACTAGAGTATACTGTAGAGTGCAATTGTATATTTGTAGGCTGGCAATTTGCACACAGCAGTGCCCCACAAACAGCCATGGAATGAGTGAAGAATTTTATTTTGGGGATTATTGTTCAGGACGCAGGAAAAAATTCCCTTCTCTATTTGAAGGGTGCTGTGCGATCTTTAACATTCACCTGAACAGGTAGATGGGATCTTGGTTTAACATTGCATTTGAAGGATGGTACCTCCGACATCGCAGTACTCCCTCACCGCTTTATTGGAGTTTCAGTGTACTTTGGAAAAGGAGCTAACCAACCCTGAGGTGCACCTGGGTAAATGCCAGGAAGAAATGTTCTACCTAAGCATTGCTGGATCCAGACGAGTTGAGGCTAAGATAATAATCCCTCCAAAACAAAACAATAATAAATTGGTCATTTTCAATCCATGACTGTTTGTGGGACATTGCTGTGCACAATTGGCTGCCGCATTTCTCCCATAAATATACAGTCAATTCACTTTACAGCATAATCTGTGAAGCGCTTTGAGACGTCGAGAAGACGTGAAAAGCACTGTATCAAATGCAAGGATTATCATTATTATTATAAGGTTTAAGTCAAAATTACAAAATAAATTCAAACAAAAGAAAATTATAGCTCAGAAAATCGGAAAAAATACAGAATTTAAGGTGGAATCCTGTAGCTTAGTAGTTAGAGCACTCAACAACAACAACTTGCACGTACATAGCCAGAACTGGCCAGGCTTGTAAGCAAGAGGACCTGGGTTTGATTCCTAGGCAGGGTGAAACATTGGGCAAGTTTCCTTACTCCACAAGTCTAGCAGTAAGTATAGGAACCTGGTTCTTAGTCAATTGGAGGATCGCTTTTCCAGGGCTAATAATCCTTTTCAAAAAATAATAGTTTGGTCACTCGATCAACGATTGTTTGTGGGACAATGCTGCAGGCAAAATATATAGTTAATTCATTTTACAGTATATTCTGTGAAGCGCTTTGACACTTCTGGAGGACATGAATAAGTCGCTATATCAAATGCAAGAATTATTATTATTATTAAACACAATTTTACAGGCAAAAGTGAAATAAAGTTGCAATATTTTCAAAGAAGAAAGAAACAACATTAACTGGAGAAATGGGAAGATAAAAATATTTCAAGGAACAACAACAACTTGCATTTATATAGTGCCCTTCACGCGGGCCAGCACTCAACTCTATTTTTCCACCTCTCTTTGCGACCGCCCCAGTCCCCTGATGTTCTGTCAGTCTGCCTGTCAGATCTCAGGGGCTGGATGAGTGCAAATTTTCTTCAGCTGAACGTTGACAAGACGGAAGCCATACTCTTTGGCTCTCGTCAACGTCTAAAATTTCACGGCTCTCACCGCCTCCACCTACCCAACCTCCCCCTAAAACTCTCTGAACCCGTACGCAACCAAGGCGTCAGATTCGAACCCCAATTATCTTTCCTCCCCCACATCTGGTCCCTCACCAGCACCGCTTTCTTCCACCTCCGATGCATTGCCCGTCTCCGCCAATACCTCTCCCCAAAAGCCGCTGAAACCCTGGTCCATGCCTTTGTCACCTCTCGGCTGGACTATTCTAATGCCCTCCTCGCCGGTCTCCTCTCCACTACCATCCATAAAATCCAAATGATTCGAAACTCTGCCGCCCGCATTCTCACCCGCACGAAACTCCGCTCCCCGATCACCCCAGTCCTTGCCAGACTGCACTGGCTGCCTGTCCCTGAGAGGATCGATTTCAAGATCCTCACCCTTGTATGCAAGTCCCTGCGCTACTCTGCACCCTACTACCTCTCTGACCTCTCTCTTCAAAACAGCATCCGTTGCCTTCGTTTCTCCGGGTCTGGCCTCCTCCCCGTCCCCCGAGTCCTCCGCTCCACCCTCGGCGGCTGTGCCTTCAGCCACTATGCCCCGAGGCTCTGGAACTGCCTTCCTCCCCCCCTTCGTCTCACTCCCTCCCTTCCCATTTTCAGGTCTCTGCTGAAGACCTTTCTCTTCGATCGCGCCTTTGGTCACCTTCCTCCCCCTCTCCCTGGCTCGGTCCC